AATTTAAATCCTGTTGTTGAATTTGTATAATATCTGCTTGATTCTATTGCTTCAACTTCTCAAGCAGTCAATTACTAACTGAAGCAGGAGTGATGGGGTTATGAGGACCGAGCATATTAACAACAAAGTTGCATTTTTAAAACCAGATATAAAATGGTAAAGAACCAAAAAGCCTCAAAGGAGTCATTCGCTTGGAAGGCATACTGTCTGTTTCAGGTGTGTTGACATTTTCCTGTCTCCTGCCTGTGTTGTATGCAAGGTTTTTGTTTAAGCAATTCAAAACTAAATTCACTGGCCTGCCTTTTGCATAGCTAGCCATGCTTCAACTATTTTTAGAATAGTTTTATTCATTAAACAGTATAACTTTTCTGGTTTGATAAAAGCTGTCAACTCCAAATGACTTCCTGTTGGATGGATGTCTCACTGGTGGCAACAGAACAGAATCTGACTGGTTGTATGTGTAAGTTACAATTCCAGTCAATCAGCATTATTATTTGTAAATGCTATTTAAAAATTTTTTATAGAATACTTTCAATAGCTACTGCAGTAACGTGCTATGTGCACCAAAAGCTTGATGACCTGATATGATTGTTCTGCAAAGTATAAAATTACACATTGTATTAGTAATATAATCTCTTTTGGATATTGTTCATCTACACTTCGAAAAATAAAACCAATACTTTCAAGTGTAAAAAGTATTTTTCTTTGACTTCATGGCTGAAGTATATTAATAATGACTTTATTTAGAGTTACTATTATCTATTGAAAGTGGATATCAGTTAATGTGTCTTTGGTTTGTTGTGCTTGAAGTTGTCACACTGAAGGGCCCCTGCTCAATGTCCCCAACTTCCTCATCGGAAGACTGCTGCTGCTCTCCCAGCTCTTTTACCTCATTCACAGCTTCTCCCTGCCTGCTTCAATTGTGCAGATGTTCCTTCCTATGCAACACTCTGTCCACCGTGCAACACAAGGCCCTCCAGAACGTGCCAAGCATCACAGCTTCACTTTTAGTGGCTCCATTATCGAGTTCATGATAGCCCTGGTTGAAGAATGGCCACACTGGATCTATACTCAACCTCAATCAGGAAGGTATGTAACTAATTCATCAGTCATGGTCACAGAAGGCAGCCCTTGTCCCCCAGTAGTCAAACTTATAAAGAATCCAGCCCTTGAAATGAAGAAAGAGTATGAGAGTTTGTAAGGACATAGACATCATGGCAGTTGCGAGGGTACATGGCACAAACCTCTATGATATAATACTGGTGATTATAGATGAATTGTACATTGACGGAATGGGATCCTGCTTTGTTGAGGAACTCACATTATGACATGAGTGCAGTCTTTAACCTGTATAATTGCCCCTTGAGGAGCCTCAAATTGCCCATATGTAGAACCCATGTGCTCAGACAGAAATAAAACACATACTCAGGGAGTGGTCACAGCCATTTTCCAGTTCCCTTGTATACTTATGATTTACATGAGTATGAAAGGCAATGCAGTTCAGGCTTGAAAGAATGAGTAACAGGTTCATGGTATGAAAGGGCCTCCCATAAACCTCCACATTTATTTCTTCCTCATATTGCATGTCGACTCCATTAGCACTGAGCTTCCACACATTCCTACATACCTCTTAAATTTACACCTTAACCTTGACCTATAGTTTAGTCATTGTCAAGAATTGTACCCCCATTGAAGCCACGATGTTTGAGACTATTGATGCCCCTTTCTCTCTGTATTACAATACTGGTCACATGAGGCTTCAATGAAATACTAAAATTTGTCTATAGATCAGCTTATCAAAATGCCTAAGGGGCAACAACTACAAGACACTATCCACTGACAAGCATCAATCTTGGATTGTTGCTACAAGCACTTTGAAACACTCTCGCACAGAGCATGATACTGTGCTGGCAAAGAGTTGAACTTTGAGGAAACTGTGACTGCTACTAACTAAATAAACAGCAACAAAGTCCGCAGGATTGATGGAATTCTGCTTGAACTTTTGAAGCATGGTGGGTCTACTCTACATTTCAAACTGCATGAGATAACTATTGCCAGCTGGGAACACTGCAGAAATTCCAAAAGAATCTTTGTGGTGGCATTATCATTACCTTCTACAACAAAAGGGGCAAATGTTAAACAACTTCAACAACTATGGAACCAACCTCCCTTCTGTCATTGAGCAATGTAGAATACAGGTGTGGGGTAGGGGTCTTTTTTGTTTTGTTTTCTTCCTTCTTTGATATTGCTTCTCAAACTGTGTGTTAGCATTTTAATGAATGCATGACTTTTGCTATCGGTTGCTTGCAGAGAAGTATCCAACTGCAGATAAACGGTAAAGATTTCAGGAACTACAAGTGGAGTGACACAAATGGATAAGAGACAGTCTGGTCATCAGTTTAATGATAAAACTTATCAAGCCAGTTCTGTGGGCTGCAGTTAGCAGAGACAGCACAGGCAAGGCATAAATATTTGTGCTGTTGCCTTTGGGTGTTTTCAATCTAAGTTTTCAAAATCGTAAATTTAATACAAATGTTTCAAACGTCAAATGCAATCAATTGACTAAGGAAGGGTTAACATCTTACTTTTGGCTTTTAATAGAAAACTGTCCAGAAAATATGACACAGTACACATAAGTATGGACAAATTGACCTACATTGGATCTTATCCTCCAAAAGAACAAAATTAAAATTGCATAGACTTTACAGTATGGAAAGAGACCCTTTGACTCATTGTGTCCAGTCAGTCATCAAACATCCCCCCATTATAATCCCATTTTCCAGCATTTAGCCCATAGCCTTGAATGCAATGGAATATCAAGTTTCTATCAAAGTACTTCTTGAATGTGGTGAGGGTTCCTGCCTCTACCACCTTTCAGGTAGTAACATGCAGATATGCAACATCCTCTGAATGAAAAAAAATGTTTTCTCAAATTCTGTCTAAACATTGACTTACTTTCCTTAAAATTGAGCCCCAATGGTTCTCTGTATTTGCTAAGGTACTACCATTCCAAGTGCACTCCCTTGCATTGTCAGTGCTCCCAAAATACATCACCTCACACTTCTCAAGATTAAATTCCATTAATGGCAAATGAGTTTATGGCTTTCCTCCTTGCTATTTAACATGCCAGCAATTTTCTTGTAATCTGCCAAATTACAGGTAGTATCTCCTACATTCATGCCTGGGTCATTAGTCTAAACATATATCAGCAGGGATCCAGCACCAAAACCCATGGTATGCCACTGGACACAGGCTTCTAGTCATAAAAACACTGCTCGACCATTAACCTCTGCTTCCTGTTAGCAAACCAATATCTGATCCAATTTGGCAAATCATCTTGGATCCCACGGACTCTTAGATTCTTGTCAAAAAGCTGTGTGGTTGCTGGAAATCTGAAACTGAAATCTGTAACTCTGTTCTTCCAAGTCTCCCCTGGTACCACATTTGAAGACGGTACCACCGCGGGAAAATCCATCGTCAATTTATCTGACCACACCCTTCAGCCGGACGAGATCGAAGTTCTCAGCCGAGGACTCAATTTCTACACCACCACCAAAACGGGCCCCACTGGTCTTGTGGCGGACACAGAGGGATTCATCTGATGAGTGAGACTCCGGGAATTCTTTCAAGATGTCAGCAGCAAGCCCGTTGAGATAAGCAATGAACCGAATCAATCGACAGAGAGATCCATGGGGGAGCGGGCAAAGAAGGAGTCATATTGGACCCCTCCGGAGGGCCGTTGCCCACGGTTTGACAGGTTTGCTCAAGCCATTGGAGAATGCACGATCACCAGACTCATCAGCTGCACTCACAAGGTAATGAAAAATGTCAGACAGGCACAACTCAATGCCATCCGTGCTCTCAAGACCAATTGCATCATTGGCATTAAACCAGCAGACAAAGGAAGAGCCATCATCATATACTACAGACAACTACTGGTTGGCCGATCCAACCAAAGAACACAACCGTCAACTGAACTGAGTGGTCAAGACTTTTGATCCAATCCTTCAGAGTACCCTACGCACTCTCATCCCGCGTAAGGAGCTTCTACTGTCTTCCAAAGATTCACAACGGGACCCTGTGTGAAAACCTCTCTGCCTATGTTGTGGGCATCATGCAACCCATTGTACAGGGAAACCACAGCTTCTGTCGCAACGCTACAGATTTCTTAGAGAAACTCAGCAGCCACGGACCAGTTGAACCAGAAACATTCCTCATCACAGTGGACGTTTCGGCACTCTACACCCGCATCCCCCACGACGACGGCATCACTGCAACAGTCTCAGTGCTCAATACCAACAACTGCCAATTTCCAGTCAACATCCCACAACTTGTCTACTTCATCCTCGACCACAACGTCTTCACCTTCAACAACCAGTTGTTCATCCAGACACACGAAGAGTATGGGGGCCAGTTTTGCTCCGCAAAATGCCAACATTTTCATACACAGTTACGAACAGAACCTCCAACCAATGCTATATACCAGATACATTGATGGCATTTTCTTTCTCTGGATCGGCCAACATTATCTACCTCAGACACTGCAGAGATGTGTGCCCTGAGGCATGGTATATTAGTGAAACCATGCAGGCGCTACGACAATGAATGAATGGACATGGCGCAACTATCAACATTCAGAGATGTTCCGTCCCTGTGGGGGAGCACATTAATGGTCAAGGACATTCAGCCTCAAATCTTCAGGTAAACATCCTCCAAAGCAGACTTCGGGATACACAACAACTCAGAGTTGCCAAACAGAGGCTGATCGCCAAGTTCGGTCCCCATGAGGATGGCCTCAACAGAGCTCTTCAGTTCATGTAGCCCTCTCTCTCTCACATGCACACACACACACACACACACACACACACACACATACACACACACACACACACACACACACACAGAAACACACACAAAGTCTCACATTCTCTCTCCCTCACACAAACACGCTCTCTCTCACACATACGCAATCTCACACACACACACACACACACACACATTCTCTCCTTCACACACATACACTCTCCCTCTCTCTCACACACACACACACACACACATACGCACTCTCTCTCTCTCCTCCTCACACACAAACGCATTCTCTCTCCTTCACACATACACTCTCCCTCACACACACACACACACACACGCTCTCTCTGTCTCCCTCACACACATACACTCTCTCTCTCACACACCCACACCCACACACACACACACAAACACACACACATACGCACTCTCTCTCTCTCCCTCACACACAACAGGCAATAGACTGCATTTTACAGCTCATACCCTTCACAGTGAGGGGAAGGCGCCAGGGCATCAGGAAACTGGAAACTGCAACAGAACTCTGTCATTGCCTTTTTAACTCGGCCAAGGCATTTTTATTCAACTGTTAGGTCTCCCAGTCAATTGGACCTTGGCAATATGCTAACACATCATGGCCTTTTGACCTCGTTTTTAAGACAAAGACGTAAAAACTATCTGGAAAGGTGCTGCACTACATGAACCAAACAGGAAAACCAGTCGATCCCACCATAAGAGAAGGGAGAGAAAAAAGAACAACTTTTAACAGCAAAACATGAAGGTGCATAGATTAGATTGTGATATCTTTAGTTGCCAATGAGTTTATCAAACTAAGGGGTGTGGCAGCATACGTTGCAAATGAAGTGAACAACCTCATCACGAGTTTTCAGGCAGAGGATGATATACTCTTACTTTCTCAATCGTGTGGATCGTAATTGTAACAATGCCATTTGAATCATTTACTTAAGCACATTCCTCAGTAACAAGGTAAGTCTCATTGTAGAATATTAAAATGGATTAATGGTTGTTTTAAGTCTCTTCTTTGAGTTGAGTGGTTTAGAGCAAATAACTTTCTCAAATACAATCATAAATCAAATGCCACTTGTGTTGTTTTCAAAGTTTGCTTTCACCAAGAATATGACATCTTAAAAATTCTCAAGAAGACAGGATTTCCAATTTTTTGTTAATCAGCTGATAGAGTGCTGCCTTCAGTGATTGGTCACTTTAACAACTTATTTATCAGAAGAATGGATATTTGTACAAAGAAGACTGTTGAATATGATCTTGGATGTTGCTGGAATGAAGTTAGTGATATACGCCAAATAATTAGAATTTTCAGTTACCATAGTTCACCCGAACCTGTGTTCAATAATTAACTAAATTCTTCTTTTTAACTCCACGTTTGGTTGCATCTTGAATTTATGATGGAATCTATGAACTGGCATAAATACCACGCAAAGAGGTGTTAGTGTCCACAGCACTATTTATGACAGAACACCAGTAAAATATATAAAGAGCTGTGGTTTTCCTCATTGATATGATAAATAGAATTAGGATGGAAGGTATTTATGGGAAACTCTTGGAAGGTCTGTATAGATTTTCTCAGTGAGACAAGTTGTATCTTTGTGGAAAGAATTGAATTCCTTATTACATATAAACTTGCCTGTCTGCATGTATCGTCTCACCGAAAACTGGAAACACCTTTCATTTACTTATCCTATCAAAGCATTCTGTATTCTTAAAGGTCACAAATGATAGCATTTTGAAACCTTCTCTTTTCTACAGAAACGCGCTCCAGCCTGTTCAACCTTTCCTTACAGTTCTGGTCTCTATAACTTTCTTTGCACTTTACTAATAGTTCTCGCCTGCCTCTGTCCCTGCCTATCATCCTTAGTGTTTGCTGTGGCTCTGTCTGGTATAGTGCAGTCTTGTTGCTTGCACTGGTACCTAGAGCTTGAATTTCTCCAATTGGCAAGATTTCCTGTAATTAAATGAGAATTGTTCTGGCATTCCCAAAAGGCTCAGTGTGCTGAATGGCATACTCCTCCTATTTCTTATGACTGCAGCAATACAGTGCAGTTTTGCACAAGGTCAACACCACTAAATTGACCCTGGACAGTTCAAAACCAGCAGCTGCTCTTAAAGGGGAAGAACATTCTGGTTGCTACAGGTGCAGAACATGGCTGCGGAAGACTGGAAAAGTCTAAGCATTTAATTGATCATAAATGGTGGAATACAGCAAGCAGTGGGCTCTAGTTTTCTCTAATGCATTGCTGGAAGTTTTCATGTTAGAGCTGGACAGGAGGAGAGTTGTCTTCCATCTACATGGGATCAGGAGGCCTTCTAGTGAGGCACTATCACTGCCAATTCCATCATGATCTGTACGGGTCAGTGGACTTGGATGGGATGCAGCTAGAGGTTTAGCGATCTGAGATGCATGGTCAAAGACAGAGATTGCCACATACTTCCAAACGTAGCAATAACCTCTCACACTGTCTAATTTACCACCTCCCCTCTTCACGATCTATCAACATTCTTAATTCACTTTGACTCAGACTTCACATTCATACCTTCTCTGCAACAGTGTAAATTTATTGCTGCTGCAAACCACACACTCAGATTTTACAGCTTGTGAAATCTTCACAGCACTACTCTACGTAAGAGACCTGGCTGTAAGCTGAAGACATTTCAAGGTAATCCCTCTATACCCGTTCCAGTGAAACATGATATTTGAACTGCTGCTGCTTCCCCAGAAACCCTATGTTCTCATTTGCCCACGACATCATTGGTACACAGCTTCCGGCGTACATGATCACTAGTTAGTGCCAGTGTTAACCCTTTACTCGACACACCTACCGCATCTTTCTCTTATCTCCGCAAATTCTATACACACATCCTGTTATATATCACCCCATCAAATGTTTCTGTTTTTACACTATTAATCTTTGTGGTTACTTCACTAATCTCCCTGTTCTTGTACAGATTTGTCTGAAATTATCAAGGATCCATACTCTCCAAACTCATATTCATTCTTTGTTCTTTTTCTTCCCTTTCTCCTCTTCACTTCCCTTCTACTCCTGCTGGACTGCAACTTTTGTATGTTTTTGAATTAAGTGGATTTGCTTGACATTGTTGGCATGTGTTTTGTAGTTAGGAAGCTAAGTGTTTCTACAGTTTCAATGAAGATCTTCTTTTCCTGCTGTAGATAGTTACTGTGTATTTTTGCCAGTGTCAGTAGCAGTTTGATATTTTTCCCTGTATCTGCTCAGCAACAATATCATAACAGATCTGGGTCAGTCTGAATCCTTGGATCTCTGTTGGCACTTTTAAGTGTTCTTTGATATTTTGTAAAATGATTACTGCCTTATGATTGGCTTCAATCTAGGACTGCAATCCGAGAAGATTGTTGCTTGTGAAATATTCCATGTGGACACTTTGAGTTTATTCCTCAAAAATGCCCTTTAACAAATGCTCTTCCTTTATGAGACTGCAGTTCAGACTTGGTTTTATTAAAACAGCTTCAAATTAAAGAAATAATTTAACATTTTCCCAACTAGACTTACTGCCTGAAAACCACGTAACTACCCGCTTTGATGAACTTGATTGGGTTTCTAGATTCAATTCACTGAACTGCATCAACAGGGCACTCAGGGTCTTCTTGGTACAAATTTGGGTCTCACAAGGATTCTTTGCTGTCCAGGTCTTCGCTAAAGGAATGGCCACTGGCTGTAACTTCTACTGCCCACTTTCTGAGCATCTTTGGAATGTTCTCTGGCTTCAGCTAATGGAGTCACAGGGCAGGGGTCACATCACGCATTGAGGTTAGGTCAGGTCATACTAAGTTTACCCATCCTCTTTTCAAGATATGATTACTCCATGTTGCTAAGAATTCTGACCAAAACTGAGGAATACACGAACGTAATGTCTTTCAATATTGTTCTGGCTGAGCACCTCTTAATGACTTTTGGGTCATAACGACTCTCCCATTGTTAAGGACGACCACCTCTGTTCATAATGCAAGTTAGGCCTAGGTTGGTCCTTGTTGGATTTTGACTTGTGGGAACCTTACCCTGATTGCATTCCATCAGGCCTTGCTTGCAGAAACTGTTTCTAGTCAATTTGATATCGGGCCCAGTTGGGCCCATTGGCCACCACACAGAGAATTTGTTGCATGCCCAGGTTATTGCAAGCGCTTCTTTTTCCAAACCACGATCTCAATTTGGTTCTAATGAAGGACCTTGATGCATTGTCAACCAGTCTTCTTTTACCATTCTTTAAAGTCCAGACCAAGACTACTCCCAGTCTGGTGATACAGTGGCACTACAATAGTAATAGCTGAGGATTATGGTGAGCCAGGATCAAAATTTACTTATTGTTACTGTTTTCAGCACCTTTCATACTCCTGCAAAAAGGTTGTATCAGACATTCATTGATTTGAGTTGAGTATATTTAAAAAATGCTCACATTATTGACCATTCCCATGAGCATCAGTAGTTCTGTGACATTCCTATGGTTTTTGTTTCCTGTGGATCAACAGTGATTTCTGTTTCTTGGACTAAGTGCCAAACATGTGCTGGAGCATTCAATAATGAGTGAAAAACTTTCTCCAGTCGAGCCATTCTATTGATCCTGAACAACTTAGTGTAAGAATAATTGAACAGGGGAGAGCTAATTTCAATGTGGCAAGAATGGAGCTGGGCCAAGTGAACTGGAATGAAAGGTTGGCTGGACTATAGTTAAAAATGGGGTACTTCAAGTAAGAGATGGTTCAGTTACAGTTAAGTTTATTTTCCCTCAAAAGGGAAAGGTAGGACAAGCAAGGTCAGAGCTCCCGAGATGAAAAGGAGATAGAAATTAAGATGCTAAAAGAGGAGAGTGATGAGTTAGAGGTCATGGTACATGTTGGTCTGAATGATATGGGCAAGTGAGGAATGAGGTCTTGCATCAAGAATTCAGGGAGCTAGACAGTAGATTATAAAATAGGTCCTCATTGGTTCTAATCACTGTATTACTCCCTGTGCCATGTGCTAGTGATTTTAGAAATAGGCAAATAGGACAGATGAACGCCTGGTTCAAGAGTTGGTGCAAGAAGAAGGTGTTTAAATTTGTGGATCGCTGGGACTTTTTTTGGGGAAGGTGGGATGTGTATAAATGGGACAGTCTGCACCTGAACCACATTGGGACCAACATCCTTTCAGGTGGATTTGCTAGTACTGTTGGGAGGTGTTTAAACTAGTGTTGCGGGGGAGGGGGACACAGAATATTGATGAAACAGAGGCACATCATGCTACAGGAAAGGAAGCAAGTCAGTGAGTGCAGCCATGTTGAATGTCAAATGAATAAGTTAAGGCTGGATGATCTTTAATTCGAGGTGTGTAATAGGTAAAACTGATGGCTTAATGGCATGGATTAACACATGGAAGTATGATATTGTTGCCATCACAGAAACTTGGTTGAGGGAAGGGCTGATGGGCAACTCAACATTCCAGGGTACAAGATCTTTAGGCAAGACAGAGGAAGGTATAAAAAGGGATAGTCACAGTGTTAAGGGTTTCAAGCGGCCAGATTTATTGAAGTGTATCCGGGGTTAATTTTATATCAATATGTTGAAGGCCCAATAAGAGACAGCGAAGTGTTTGACGTGTCAGTAGGGGAACATTTTAACAATAGCAAGCACAATATGGCATGGATTAAATTTGTTCCGGACAAGAAAAAAGATGCCCTGCAAAAGATGGTTTTGAATTGAGGGTGGGTAGATTTAATTAAAATAAAGGAGCACTTGGTCATAGTAGACTGGGAACAAATCTTTGTTGTTAAGTCTACAGGAGACCAATGGGGGCGGTGGCATTCAGAAAGGAGCTTGGCAGCGTACAGGTCCAGCATGTACCCGTTGGAGAGAAATGTAGGAGCAATGAGTTCAGAAAACCCTGGGTATCTAGGACAATTCAGGACTGGATAAGAAAGATGAGAGTGGCTATTAGCAGGTCCAAAGAGAGGAATTCAGCTGTGGCCCTCGGGGAATACAGGATCTTCAGGAGGGGGCTGACGAAAACAATTACAAGAGCAAAAGGGGGCATGAAAAATAACCTGTTAACAGGATTGCAGAGAATCCTAAGATATTTTATAAACACATTAAAGGGAAGAAGCTAACCAGGGAAAGATTAAGGCCCATTAGAGAACAAGGGAGCAACCTGTGTGTGAAGTTGCAAGATATTGGAAGAGTCTAGGCCCAAAAAGTCAGCTTTCCTAGTCCTCTGATGCTGCTTGGCCTGTTGTGTTCATCCAGCTCTACACCTTGTTATCTCAGATATTGGAAGAGTTTTCAATTAATACATCTCTTCAGTGTTCACTCTGGGGAAGCAGAACGTATGAACAGAATTCAGGAAAAGTGACTGTGAGATACTTGCTCAGTTTGACATATGAAATGAGCATGCATTGCAGTCTCTGTTAGGCTTAAAAACAGACAAATCCCCTGGCCCAGATGAATTATATGCCAGGGTCTCTGACAGAAACTTTTAATTCCTTACTGGTCGCAAGGGAATTGCCAGAGAATTGGAGAATGTCAAGTGTGGTTCTACCTTTTAAGAAGGGTGGTTTAGAAGAACCAGGAAATTAGAGTCCAGTGAGTCTCATGTCAGGGGTGGGGGATCTATTGGAGATAATTCTGAATGAGTGAATTAATAAACACTTGGAAAGTCATGGGTTAATTAGGGATAGTCATGCTTAACAAATTTGTCAGAATGTTTTGAAAATGTGATCAAGTGTGTTGATGAGGGAAGTTCAGTTTATGTAGATTGCATGTATTTGAGCAAAGCTTGTGATTAGTTCCCACATAGGAGACTGATTGAGAAGGTTAAAGCACATGGAATAGAGAGAAACTTGGTGAGATAGATCAGAAACCTGCCCAGTGATAGGCCACAAAGGAAAGTGGTAGAAGGCTGTTTGAGTGACGGAAGTCTGGTATCCAGCGATGTACTACCAAGATCAATACTGGGACCCTTATTGTTTGTTATATACTTAAATGATTTAAATGAAAATGTGGGTGAATGTAAAGCAAATTTGCAGACAACACCAGGATTGGTAGAGAAAACAGAAATTGCTGGAAAATCTCGACAAGTCTGCAAGTATCTGTGAAGAGGAATCAGAGTAAACATTTCAGGTCTGTTGACCCTTCCTCAGATTGGTAGAGTGGTTAATAGTGAAGAAGATGGTTGTAGGTGACAGGAAGATATAGATGGGTTGGTCAGATGGGTGACTCAGAGGGAGCTTGGGGTAATTATTCACAGATCGCTGAAGTCGGCAGAGCACATGATTAGGATCATAAGGCATATGAGACATTTGCTTTCATCAGCTGTGCCATAGAGTATAGGAGCAAGGAGGAAATGTTGGAGTTGTACAGAGTATTTGTCAGGCCACAGCTGGAGTACTGTGCGTTCTGGTCACCTCACGACACGAGGGACGTGATAGCACTAGAGGGGGTACACTAGGATGTTTCCTGGAATGGAGAATTTGAGCTATAAGGTGAGACTAAACAGGCTCAGATTGTATCCTTTAGAGCAAAGAAGAATCAGAGGGTTCAGGATTGAGGTGTATAAGATTTTTAAGGGATATGGGCAACTTGAAGAGAGAGCATCTGTTCTGCTTAGTTGAGGAGTCAATCACGAGATGGCATAGATTGAGGGTAAGGTGCAGGAGATCAGAGGGGATTTGCAAAAAAAAACTTCTTCATTCAGTGAGTGGTGGAATCTGGAATGCACTGCCTGGGAAGTTGGTGGGGGCCGGAAAATATTTTTAAAAATATTTGAATGAGTACATCGAATATCACAACATTCAAGGATATGGGACAAGACTAGGAAATTGGGTTTAGCACACTGTTACTGGTAGTTATGTGGTGCAGACTTGATGGGCTGAAGGGCTTTTTTGACGCTGTATGAATCTATGAATTTATAAGAGACACAAAGTGAAGTTATGATATGTGTCAGGTAAAAAAAAATTACATAGAGAACAATCCGAATGCAAAATGATCAGAACCAATTTGAAAAAGCCAGTCATAGAAGCAAAGAGGGATTATGAGAAATGACTAGCAGTTCGAAAGAACATATCTGTTACTTTTGGTAAATGTTTGACTGTGGACTGAAATGGAAAAGGACTGTTTTAAATTCCAAGATTTATTGAAGGAAAATCAATCACCTTATATCTCCTGCAAGCAAGTGAATGCAGTTGGAGAAGAGGGTGATAAGCAGAATTTCTTGAAAACCAGGAGGACCATCTGAGCAAACACACCTCTACCCATAGACCTTTCTTTTCCTGTCCATCAGTGTGTATGGGGGAATTTATAAGCGGATTAGAAATTAAATGAGGAGAGATATATTTTGATGATTATTTCTTGACTGTTGTTGAAGTTGAAGTATTTTTTCATTCACATGAGTTGTGTTTGTAGATGATGGACAGGAATCAGGAGATGTGTTCATGCTGTAAAATTCCATATCTGAGCTGCTCTTGGAGAGATGGTATTTATACGGCTAGTCCAGTTACTGATAACCTCAGGATACTGAGGGTGATTGAATCAGTGACAGTCATGGTATTGAATATAAAGGCTCATGGTTAGATTCCAGTGTGTTGGTCATTACCTGGCAGATGTGTGGAATGAATCTTACTTAGCCAGTGTCCAGACTGGTGCATGTGGGTACAAGATGCTTCAGTATCTGAGGAGTTGTGTCTGAACACTGTTAATCATCAGGAAACTTCTTTAAGTACCACTGATGGTTACTATTTCTGCTTCAGAGCACATATTCAGCCCTACATGCTTAGTGGAAGATGTGACCTGAGACTGTAAATTTGAAAATAGTGGTTCAAAAATGACATGTGATTTAAACGTTAATTGACACAATGTGCATGAGATTTGTTGATGCTCTGTTGGTACCACATGCCAAAACTCTTTGACAAGGAGTTGAACTTTGCAGTTTCTCGCTGGTATAACTTTGAGTATGATCATCAAAGTAATATCATGCTCTCTTCTTAAAAGCATTAAAAATGTGATTTATGATGAACATAATTTTCTATTCTTTTTGTGGTTTGCTCAATAAATTGAAAGTATTTACTTCATAAATCTTCTTTTTCTTATTTTGTTTTGCAGGAAAATGACTTGGATACAGTTCTTGAGCTTTCTATTCTTTACTGAACTGTGTGGTTTGGCCAATTCCACTTCTAAGTGTGACTTTCATTCAGGTGTCTTGTTCTGTAGTGGGAAATTCATAACTGAAATTCCAGCAATTATACCATCAAATACAACTCGTTTAACGTTTTTGACCACCAACATTTCTATAGTAAGAGCTGGAGACCTTCAGAATTATTCAGCTTCACTAACAATGCTTGCATTTAATGAGAATTGTATACGTAAAATAGAAATTGGAGCTCTGGATGGTCTCACTAACCTGACCCACCTTGAGATAACAGGTAATCCATTGAAAAGATTGAGCAATGAAATTTTTGACCACCTTCTGCTAATGGAAAACCTCTACCTGTCTGAAAACAAGATCAATATCCTGGATAATGGATTATTTGATAAGCTTGCCAATTTGGTTGAGCTGCGGTTGTTTGATAATGAAATAGAAGTCCTTCCTGATCAGATATTTGACAAACTTACACAGCTTAAAACACTGCAGTTGGCTAAAAATCAGATAAGCAATCTTCCTTGGGGAATATTTGATAAACTTTCCAAACTCAAATCCCTCAAACTTTACCAAAATCAGATCACTGATCTCCAGGAAGGTATTTTTGATAACCTTCCTGAATTAGTGGAACTTTCTTTGGGAAATAATAATGTGACACATCTCCCACCTGGAATCTTTTCCAAACTGCTTAACTTACAGAAACTATATTTGAACAACAACCAAATCACAGAGCTTCCACCTGGTCTTTTACGTAATTTGACTAAAATATCTAAATTGAAACTCGATTCTAACATGCTCTCAAATCTTCCTACTGGTTTATTTGGATTAACACCAAATCTTATTGAACTTTCACTGACTAAAAACAAACTAATCACTATTCCTGATGATATGTTCAGTAAACTGCCTAATTTGAAAACTCTGATATTGAGCGAGAACCAGATTACTCATCTTCCAAAGAAAGCTTTCAATGGCCTTGAGAAATTAACTCAACTTGACCTGAAAAAAAATCAACTGGTTACCTTAGACAAAGACATTTTTAAAAACTTACACAATTTGAGAAAGCTTGACCTTAATTTAAATCAATTATCTAATATACCTCATGGAATATTTGATAATTTGGGAAATCTGGCTTCATCTGGACTCAGCCTGTTGGGTAATTCTTTGGTATGTGACTGTCACTTATTGTACTTTAGAAATTGGTTGAAGTCTCATGCAAAGAAAGTAAAATCATATACTGCGATGCAGTGTTTTATGCCTGGTAGTTGTCTTGCAAGTAATATTCACTCTTTAAGGGAAGAAGAACTGATCTGCTTACCTACAACAGAGAAAAGCACCACTGCAGAAATTTCAACTTCTACCACAGCCATGTTGACATCTACTGATATTAGCACAATTACTACGGAACTAACGACAGAACAGCTCAGCACCAGAGAAATTTCAACTTCTAGTGTGACCACTCGGGTATCTACCCCCATTTCCACAATAACAACAGGGTTCACAACAGAGCAAAGCAGTACTTTAGTGGCATCAACTGCATCCATGACAACATCATCAGCCTCCACTAGCATGACAACTGAATTATTAACAGAAGTATTAACGACCACAGAGGTTCCAGTCCCAGCAGTGACTCCATTATTATCAACGTCTTATGCAACTACATCAGAACAGACAACAACTCCAGAAATTTCAACTTCTTCTGTTACTACTTATGTATCTACTCCAATTTCCACAATAACAACAGTGATCACAACAGAACAGAGCAGCACTTTGGTGACATCTACTTCATCCATGACGACATCAACAGCTCTTAATATCATCACAAGTGAATCAACAACACAACTATTAACTTCTGCAGAGATTCCAACTCCAACTGTGACTCCATTTCTATTGACCCCCTTTACTACAACAACAGCAACAACAACAAAACTGACCACGACTCCAGAAATTTCAACTACTGTCGAGACTACATTATTTTCTAGTCCCAGTATTGCAATAACAACGGAACAGAGCACTACTCCAGAAATTATAACTTCTGCTACAGCAAGTGTGAGTACAGCCACAACAATGATTTTTACTACTACCAGCATAACATCCAAGCTATCGCCATCTTTTCTGGTTCTTATTCCTTGGTCATCCACAGTACCCTGGAGCACATCACTGGAGACTGAGATTAAACAGGAAGTGGGTTCACCTACCAATCCTACTGTGGATACAACACACCAGTCCACATTAGTTCCACAGGTAGAAACATCTACCATATCAACCCCAACAACTCTTACTACATACACTCCAGGAAGTCCAACTGGCAATGAGTCAATGCAGCCAAGAAATACATCAAATTCACTTTTCAGTTTGACTCCCACCCAGGCATTTGTTGGTAAAAGTGCAATCCCACTGCCTTTTGCAAGAGAAACAATGGTTTCCAATGAAAGAGGAACATGCAGGTTAATAGCATCATTATATCTAACACTACTACTGTTTCAAATAATCTTCACATCCATTCTTCTGTGGTTTGTATATAACATTTACAATTCACTTTTCCATGGAATGACAAATAGGATTTCAATTAGATTAATTAAGTTTCAAGAAAACAATAAATAATTTAACGACAAAAAGTTTGCTGTTTAGTCTTCAAAATTCTTTCCAATATAATTTTGTTACATTATACTCGGCATGCAAAACCAATTTGACAATTGCTTTATTGGAACAGCAGCACGCTATTGTATCATATTGATTTAATAAAAATGTACAAAAGAGGTAATGTATTGGAGATTTTTCTCCACATTTTGAGGAATAAGTTAGAAAATTCTATATTTACATGAATTCGCAAGACACAGAATTCCAACAAAGCCAACAGCAGAGAACCAGGCCGTCAACCAAACTAGGCCACTCTGTTGTTTATGCTCCACATACAAACATTCTATTTACCCAATCTGAGTCTTTCAGCAGACTTCATTTTGTTATGTCTTTTTGACAGGACTTAAGCTACTGGCCCCAAAACACAGCTTGTTGTGACAAATTCCACATTTTAGCCATTCACTGAAAGCAATATTTGCTTCTCATCCCACATTTAGATTTATCAATACTGTTTTCTTTATATGGTCCCTAGTTTTATGTTCCCACCAGCGATACCAAAATCTTCGCACTGACTCAATATATTTTCTACTACAAGATTCTCTCCCATCACTTTGTTTAAGCAATTATCACTGATTTCCAGATGTTTTGGCTAAAACAAAGTTGTGTTCACTTTACTGGAGGGTTTGTCACTCAAGGCCTAGTGAGATCTCGGCAGCGTATCTTTCTAAAATTGCATTAAGTGACTAACCCATACGAGTGGAGTCTCTTACGTCCAACTTTTGTCCCATCTTATCATGTGTTGCCCACAGAACAGCCCGCCATTCAGTGGAGATCCACCCAAAGAACAACAGTCCTTGCAACTGTGTCATCCTTAGACACCACAGTGCACCTCAAACCACTGACATTGCAAAGACTCCCTGCTCATTGACAGACAGAAACTGAACATCTCAGAGAATGGGAAGATGGCACTGCTATCCTGGTTGGGAGAGGGACTGGTGCAGAGGAGGCACTCTTTCTTGTGGACTGGCAAAGGGTGTTGTGCCATCAGACCCTGCCAGCCTAGTCTGAGGCTGCTGCCCAGGTCAGTGCCATCTCCACTGTGAGATCAGATGGCCTGTAGTGCCTCAAAAAGATAATGATCTTCTCCACTGTGCCAGGATAAGTGCCACATTTTCTCTCTCCCACCTCATACTAACTCTCTCTCTGCCACTGAACACTGCCCTGATGTCAGGCTTCAGAACATGCGGAAAGTCAAGGTGTTGATTCAAGAGCAAAGAGAAAGGTATTAATATGGGAAATGGTAAACAGATAATGACAGGTTAGAGAATGCATGAAAATAAATTTTGATGCTTTAAAAATAGTTCACATTTCAGAAGAGAAAGTTCTGTAGTCTTAGAGAATAGAAAGGTAGATAAATCTTGGAGATCTGATCTAATGTATCCTAAAACATTTTGGGAAGCAAGGGAGGAAATTGCCAGACCCCTTGAAGAAATATTTGCATCATCTATAACTATGGGTGAGGTGCCTGATGACTGGAGGGCAGCTGATGTTGTACCTTTAAGAAAAGTTGTAAGGAGAAACTGGGGTACAACAGACCTGTGAGTCTGAATGCAGTTGTGGTTAAATTCATGCAGGTGATTTTTAAAAGATAGGGTTTATGGACATTTTGAGAGGCAAAAACTGATTGAGGGTAGTCGGCCTGGTTTTATGTGAGGAAAATTGTGTCTCACAAAATTGATTGAGTTTTTTGAGGAAGTTACGAAGGAGATTGATGATGGCAGAGCAGTAGACTCTATTTACTGGACTTTAATAAAGTCTTCTACAAGGTTCTGCATGGTAGACTAATTAGTAAAGTTAAGTCAAATGGGACTCAGGGTGAGCTTGCCTATTGGATGCATAATTGGTTTAACGGCAGGAGACAGAGTGTGGTGGTGGAGGGTTGTTTTTCAGACTAGAGGTCTGACACCATAGTGTTCTATAAGGATCAGTTCTGGGTCCTCTTTTGATGTCATTTATATAAATGATTTGGTGAGAATATAGAAGGCATGGTTAGTAAGTTTGCAGACGACACCAAAATTGGTGGCATAGTAGACAGGGAAGAAGGTTTTCTATGATTACAAAGGGATCTTGATCAAATAGGTCCATGGGTTGAAAAATGGCAGATGGAGTTCAGTCTGGATGAATGCGAGGTATTAGATTTTAATGCAACAAACAAAGGGTATGGCTTATGCAATTAATGGTAAGACCTTGGGTAGTGTCGTATAACAGAGCGACCTAGGGTTGCAGGTACTTAACTGTATGATGTTTGCGTCAGATATAGACAGGATGGTTAAAATGAAGTTTAGCACTCTTGCCTTCATTGCTCAGTCCTTGGTGTAGAGGAGTTGGGCAGTCATTGAGGTTGTACAGGACATTGGGGAGGTCTCTTCTGGAACACTGTGTCCAGTTCTAGTTGCCCAGTTATAGGAAGGATATTATTAAACTGGAAAGAGTTCAGAAGAGATTTACCAGGATGTTGCCAGGTATGGGATATTTGAGTTATATAGAAAGGCTGGATAAGCTGGGATTCTTTTCACTGGAGTGTGACGTTATAGAGGATTATAAAATCATGAGGGGTATAGATAGGGTTAATGGTAGGTGTCTTTTCCCTAGGATTTGTGATTTCAAGACTCGGGACATATTTTCAAGCTGAGAGGAGAAAGATTTTAAAAAGACGTGAGGGGCAAATTTTTTACACTGAGGATGGTTCACGTGTGAATTGAACTTCCTGAGGAAGTGGTGGACATGGGTACTATTACAATGTTTAAAAGACATTTAGATAAGTACATTTATAGGAAAGGTTTGGCAGGATATCGGCCAGGAGCAGGCAGGTGGGACTAATTTAGTTTGAAATTATGTTTGGCATGGATTGGTTGGACAAAAGGATCTGTTTCCGTGCTGTATTGCTGTATGACTCTATGACACCATGACAGACAGTAAGAATCCAAGAGTCAGCCAACAGATAAAAGCAGAAATTAAAAAGAATAAAAGGATAAAACTAAGGGCATGGACTCAATGGGCCAAAAGGTCTTTTTCCATGCTGTGAAAACTCTCTTGGTCTATGACTCTAAAGGCTTAGTTTCGAAGTGCACATAGCATTTGAAACAGAACATAAAAACTGAGAGTGCAAATAGAAATGAATAAATACAATATCGTAACTCTTTTGCAGACATGGTTGAAGGATGACATGGATTTTAATCCGAATCTTGAAGGGTACATAACATTTAGGAATGACATAGAAGATAAGAACATAAGAATGAAGAGCAGGAGTACTCAACTCAGTCTCTGCTCGAGACTAGCATTCTCTGTTATTCAATATGACCATGACTAATCTTATCTTGGCCTTAAATCCACTTTCCTGCCCACACCCTATAACACTTCAACCCTTTACTAGTTAAAAATTTATCTCCTCCTTCAATTTGATCAATGTCCCAGCAAACACCAAACTCTGGGGTTTTGAATTGCACAAATTCACGACTCTTTGAGAGAAGCAATTTCTCCTCTTCTGTGTTTTAAATCTGTTGTGCCTTATCCTAATACTATGACCTCTCATTCCAAGTTGCCCCATAAGAGGAAACATCCTTTCTACATCTATTTTATTAATCTCCTTTAGTATCTTTATATATCTCAATTAGATTTTCTCTATCTTTTGAACTCTGGAGAACTTAAGCCTAAACTGTACAGTCTATATTCCAAAACAAATCCCTTTTCTCTGAAATCAATATAGTGAACCTTCTCTGAACTGCTTCCAATTTAACTACATCCCTCTTCAAGTGAGGGGACTAAAACTGTACCCAATACTCCATGCTAACAAATTAGTAAATGCAATTTAACCTTCCAAAAACCATGCTGACTCTGATAGATTGTGTTTTGACTTTCCAGATGACCTATTAATACTTTCTTTGTTTTGGAATGTAACAGTTGCCTAATGACAGATGTTAAACTAACTGGCCTATAATTTCCTACTTTCTGCTTCCCTCTCTTTTTGAATAAAGGCTTCACATTGCATTTTGAAAGAAATAACAAGACAAGGGAGTGCTAATGAACAGTAGGATATTAGGAAGCTCAGAGGAACAGAGGGATCTCAGAGTGTTTGTCTACAAATCTCTTAAGGTGACAGGGCATGTTGTTAAGTAGTTAAGAAGGCATACAAGACACTTGTTTTTATCAGTTGAGGCATAGATTATACGAGCAGGTTGGTATGTTGGAGCTGTACAGAACTTTGCTTAGGCCAGAGCTGGAGTACTGTGTGCAGTGCTGGTCACTGCAGAAAGGATGTGATTGCACTGGAGAGAGGTGCAGAAGGGAATCATTAGGATGTTGTCTGGGATGAAGTGCTTTAGCCATGGAGAAAGACTGGATAATATTGAGTTGATTCTTTGGAGCAGAGAAGGTTGAAGGGGAACCTGACCGACGTGTATAAGATTATGAGGACATGACTGGCTGGATAGAAAGCAACTGCTGCCCCTAGTTGAAGGATTAATACCAAGGGGCCACACCTTTAAGATAAAAAACAGGAGGTTTATTTGGGATTTGAAGAAAAATATTTTTCACCTAGAGGATACTGGGAGTCTGAAATGATCTGCCTGGGAGAATAGTAGAGGCAAGTAACTTCACAACCTTTAACTGCACTTACATGAGCACTTGAAATGTCATAACATTCAAGGCCATGGGCCAAGTGCTGGGAAGTGGGATTATTGTAAATTTATTATAGTTTAGGCAGTACAGACTCAATGGGCCAAATGGTCCCTTCCGTATTGTTTAATTCTATGATTAGCATTTTTCCTATCCACTGGAATCTTTCCAGCATGCAGGGAATTTTGGGATATTATCATCAGTGGACCCATAATCTCTGCTGCCACATCCCTTAAGAACCTAGCATGTTGGTCATCACACCCTGGGGACTTGTCAGCTGTCCACCTCAATAGCTTGCTCAGGAAAGTAGACAAAGCTTGAGAAGTGGTTGTGTTTGTTAATAATGGTATAATAATTATAGGCA